AGGCCTGAGTCAGCGCACCTGGCCCTATACACATACGTTTCAATAAATCTGTGGGTCCTTGAGATAGAAACTTGGTGAGAAATGTGTCTTAGCACACCACTTTGGGTACAGTGAGGGGTTTTGAAACAGTTTACATTCTGATGGGGACATTGTTAAGATGTGAATGTGCATGTCCCTCTGTCTCACAGCGACCCCAACAGGCTGCTGCTCCTCCCTGTTGATCAGTCTGGCCCTGTAGGGGTGAGTCCGGCCCCGCCATCAGGGCCCCATTTAATAGACCCCATAGGTGTGAGTGCTGGCCCTGGGCATTCTGAAAGCGTGGCTTTCTGGCTTAATTTGACAGATGAGATTCTGAGGGATAAGGTCAGAGGGATGGCGTTATAAAGAGCTTTTTTGGCGATTTGAGGCATTGTTGAGCTTGCTTGGCCGACCCTGTTCCTGAGGATGCCAGGGCATCATTCAGGACAGAGCAGGGGAGCAGTGTGCTAGACCCTGCCCATGTCTCTGTCTGCGTCGGAGCTAGAGGGGAACCTGTTCTCCCCTGGGCTCTGGGCACAGCCATGCCTGCCAGAGGAGAGCTTGATCAGGCCTAAGGCTGGGGTGCCACTTGCACCCCAGGGTCTCCAGAGCAGCCGCTGAAAGTGGCCCTGACACCTTTTATCCCACTTTTAAAAAACAAAAATGGCAGCCCTGTGAGGCCAGCATATGACTCCAAAGTGCAGGCTTGGGAGTGACTGCCTCTTGCAGTTCAGGGACCCCCGGTTTAACATCAGAAGTGTTTACAAACAGCCCCCACTTCAGGCTGGGTGGGGTGGCTGTGGCCTATAATCCCAGCACTTTGGGAGACTGAGGCAGGAGGGTCCTTTGATCCCATGAGTTTGAGACTAGCCTGGGCAGCATAGTGAGACCCCATCTCTACAAATAAAAAAAAAAATAGCCAGGCATAGTGGTGCCCACCTGTAGTCCCAGCTACTCCAGAGGCTCAGGTGGGGGGATTGTGGAGCCCAGGAGTTTGAGGCTGCAGGAAGCCATGATTGTGTCACTGCACTCCAGCCTGGTGACAACGCAGGATCCTGTCTCAAAAACAAAACCACCCCCCAACCACACACACACTGCTCACCAGAGTGATCAGCTGTTTTTGCTGTCCAGGATTTAAAAGGTCACCTGTGATGTAGTCAGTGAAGGCTCTGACACAGTTCTCCTGCCTGTACCTCCCACTCCTGAGGCTGGGTGCACTGCAAGGTGCCAGCTGTGGGCAGCAGGTGGCGCTCTTAGCCGCCCAGGGTGCCCAAGGAGCAAGCAGGGCTCTGCTGTGGCTGACGTGGTGTCTGCTGCCAGCACTCTCTATAGTCTCAAACCTTTGGGCACCCACCCAGTGGCGCTGGCCATGGGACACGGCAGTGCCCTCCTTGTTCCCTAATAGAGAACTGTTCTGTTTTGCCTTGTTGCAGGTAAGAAGGTTCAGTTTCGGAAACCAGCCCCAGGCGCAACAGACGCTGTGCCCTCCCGGAAACGGGCAACCCCCATCAACTTGGCGAGTGCCATCAGGAAGAGTGGTACCAGTGTCGTGAGCGGGGGCAGCGGGGTGTCCCAGAGGCCCTTCCGTGACCGAGTGCTGCACCTCCTGGCACTAAGGCCCTACCGCAAGGCTGAGCTACTGTTGCGGCTGCAGAAGGATGGCCTGACGCAGGCGGACAAGGATGCGCTGGATGGCCTCCTCCAGCAGGTATGTGCCACCCCGATGTTGCGTCTTTACCGGCCATCTCCACAGATGGTCTCGTGTGGGTGGGATGGGCCAGAGCATGGAGGCTGGGATTGGGACTGGCAGGGAAGAGCCCTTCCTGGGATCTCTCTCAGGTTCTGAACCTGCCTCAGACCTGGGGCCCCCTGCATGAGAACAGGCTTAGCGGGGCCATGGATGGGTCTCTGGGCATGGCCCTAACTGTCCTGGGTTTCGAGGTGGGCTCCGCATGGAGCCCAGGCCCTCTCCTTCCACCATCTGCCAACACGTGGGCAGTTGGGCCTGGCACAGTGGATCCAGGCTTCAGCTATAGACGATTTGTAGACTCAAGGCCTGGGGAAGGAACCCATACAAGCCAGACAGAGTCTGGCGGGCCTCAGTATGAATCAGCTGCCTGCCGCTCTCCAGAGGTGCCTCTGGGCAAGGGGCTTCATGTCTTGAACCCTCAGGCTTCCGTCTGTGACCTGCAGTGTGCCTAGCTGGGGTTGGGGGCTAGGCCAGCCAGAACGTGGTAATGGCATGTGGAGCCTGCTGTTGAGAAACACCCTGGGCATTGCAACGAACAAGTGTGATGGCCCTGGCTGCCTTCTACCACCCCTCACCCGTGGAGGCTCCTATGGCCCCACCCTGGCTTCCTAGGGTTCCTGGGGAGGAGAACAACTTGGACTGGCTTCAGAACATCAGCCAGGCTGTGCAGATGCAGCCTTGTGGTGAACTGGGGATGGGTCTCCTCGAATTGCTGCTGTGGTCAAGGAGGAGGCACCTTCCAGGGTGATAGAACTGGGATGTTGGGAACACAGGTGGTGCCTGCAGCAGAAGCACATGCTGTGATGTGCCGGGATAGCAGCTGGAGGGACATTCTTCTATGTTTACCGAGTTCCTCACAGGCATCCCACTCAGGTGTGCAGCTGGTGGGACCGTGCTCTACGTTCCCTGGGAGGATGTTGGGATATCAGCCTGGCCCTTGTCCACCTCCATCCTGCTCCTGAGCCAGGGCCAGCTTGGTGCCAGCAGGGGTGGCTGAAGGGAGCTTGATGCAGTTACCAGATGTGGGACCTGCACTGGCCTGGCCAGGAGACGCCTGTTCTAGGGCCTGGCTTCTCCAGGTGACTTTGATTCAGCATTTCCTGGGAGCAGGCCTGACCAGCATCTGCGGGCAGTGTCCCTTCCCATGCCACTGTGACTTCCCTTGGACAGCTTGTCTGCTTGCTTCTATATTCATTATGCAGCTGCTTCTCCCCAGCAATTATGGGGGTCAGCTGGATGCTGTGGCTAGCAGAGGGGGATGTGCCTCACCCAGACTGGTCATTTCCAGTCCTCACCAGGCCTGCAGACACACTGAGGAATGGCAGTGACAAAATTGTACCCCTCAAAGGTGCTTGGCCCTCCCTCTGGAAAAATCTACAGCAGAGATGGAAGGAGTCCGCCTCTAGGACTGGCTGGGCCCCAGGGAAACCCGCAGGCCTTTCCTACGAGGGCAGGGGTGTGGACAGATGGGTGATGCTGAGCAAAGGCTGTCAAGAGCCATACAAATATCCAGCCTTTGACTTACTAATCTGGCTTCTGGGAATCCCGCCAAAGGAAACTAGCCAACGTGAGAAAATGTGCACACAGTAATGTCTGTTTATGCTGCAGAGAAACTGGCAGCAGTTTGTAGGTGGAATATTACTCACCCATTAAAAATGCTCCCCATGAAGTATGCTGTGACACAGAGCTGTGTTGGATGCAGCAAACGGTGGCTGCCGCGTCTGCAGCAAGATGGAGACCAGAGCACCCCGCAGGCCAGCACACAGCACCCATTCAGGGCAGTGACCTGGAGCTTCCTCAGGTCCCTCTAAGGCAGATGGTCTGAATCCATCTTTGTCAGCAGTCTGGGAGACGAACTTAGCTTTTGTGAACCAGCGACAGCAAGGCACGCTGGTTATAAGGAAGGTGGGCTCAGGCCTGGCCCCGGAGGTACCCCTCACCCAGCATCCCCAGCCATGGTCAACTCTGCCCCAGGAGTTGTGATCGAAATGGAGTGGAGCTGGCTCACGCCTGTTTCCAGCACTTTGGGAAGCTGATTGGGAGTATCCTTGAGGCCAGGAGTTTGAGACCAGCCAGGCAAAATACTGAGACCCTCTATCTACAAAAAGTAAAATTAGCTGGGTGTGATAGTACATGCTTGTAGCCCAGCTACTTGGGAGAGGCGAGAAGATCGCTTGAGCCCAGGAGGTTTCGGCTACAGTGAGCCTTGATCACGCTACTGCACTCCAGTCTGGAAGAAACAGGAGCCGGGTTTGGTGGCTGGAATCCCAGCACACTGGGAGGCTAAGGTCAGAGGATCACTTGAGCCCAGGGGCTCAAGCCTGGAAAACATAGTGAGATCCCATCTTACAAAAAAATAAAATTAACTGAAGTATGGTGATGCACGCCTGTGGTCCCACTACTTTTGAGGTGAGGTGGGAGGATGGCTTTCGGTACAGGGTGTAGTGAGCCAGGATCTTGTATCAAGAAAAGAAAAAAGAGAAAACAGGGTAGGGGGCCAGGGGGCAGGTGATGGGGTCTCAGGACTGCAGGGAGTAGCCTTCCCTTTTTTGGAGCCAGCTGGCCCCAGCACCTGTAAGACAATTGAGTCTGGACCTAGCTCCATGACCCTCAGGGTCTCTTCTGTACGCTGAGGAGCTGGGGGTGGGAGGCGGCACAGGTCAGTAGTGGGGGGCCCTCTTTCCTCTCCTCTGTCTGGGTCTGTCTCCCACTGTCTCTGCACGCCCTCCCGCCCCTGCCATCTGATCTTTTTTCTCTAGTCTCCCACCACTCTCAGGCTTCCCACAAAGTGATGGCTGGCTGTCTTGCAGGTGGCCAACATGAGTGCTAAGGACGGCACGTGCACGTTGCGGGACTGCATGTACAAGGATGTGCAGAAGGACTGGCCCGGCTACTCAGAGGGGGACCAGCAGCTGCTGAAGCGGGTGCTTGTCCGGTAATGCCACCTCCCATCCCCCAGCATGTCCCCAGCCGCCTGAAGGCGGCCAGAGCTTACCCAGAGGATGCTGGGGTGGCCTTGTGTGGTCCTGAAAGTGGAAGGTCCTGGGAACAGGATGGGAGGGTCCAAGTAGGCCTCTCTGGCCATCCTCTCTACTGCCCTCGTGGTTGGGGGAAGGCCACCCCCACAGAGTGGGATGCAGGCATGAGTCACTGGCCCAAACCCCAGAATCTTTAGACAAAAGGCCTCAGTCTGCCAGAACCCTCCCTCCTCAGCTGTTCCCAGCTTCCCACCCCCCCCCCCCCCCCCCCCCCCCCCGTGCTTCCCTCCACAACCTGGGCATGCCCACAGGGCCTTGGAAGTTCACTGACTTTTTGAGAAGAGCCTCTCGAGAACCTGAAGTAGAGAAATAAGGCAAACCAACACTCCCGGCAGGCGTCATTAAGCAGTGTTAATTAAATGCATCCTCTGGGGCTAATTGGAACCCAGGGTCAGGAGTGGCAGCAGCTCCGGAGAGCAGTGGTTAAGGAGGCAGACGGCTAATGGTTTCCTTCTCTACCGATGTGGGCTGCGGAGTGCAGGCTGTGAAGCAGGCCAATCTGCCAATTAGTCCACAAGTGATTTCTCAGGGGCTCGGAGGTATTTATGATTTGTGATTATTTTTTGGAAGTTCAGCTGTTTAAAGCAGTAATTGCCTCTGGAAAGCAGAGAGAAGTGGGGGTCCACTCCGTTCCCCTGAGGGGTAGTACCTGCCTGTCTGCCCTGGAAGTGGAGGTCAGGGGCCTGTGGGGCACTTCCCTGGCTGGTGGGAGGCTCCCTGAGGGCACAGTCTTGGCAGAAGACCCACCCCCATCCTCGTAGCTGTGTCATCTCCCTTGGCCCCCTCCCTGGGTTCCACAGACCCTTAGGGCACTGGAAGGAGAACTGCTTGGAGTTAGTGGAATGAGGAGAAGCCTGAGCTGCATCTCTGGGGGCTGCGGGGAGTTCCCCTGGGATGCAGGCTCCAGAGCTACCTCCAGGTCCCCTGATTCGAAGCTCATGTTCCATCTGCGGAGTGAGCTGCTGGGCTCATGCCAGCCCCTTGGCAGTTGGCTTTCACTCTGGGCCAGCAGCGGGAGCGGCATTGTCTTCCCAAGCTTCAACTGGTGTGTAGGGGTAGGGTTGGTGTCCTGGACCATAACCACATAGAAGGTGACCTGAAGCTCTCCTCTGCACAGCTGTTTCGTTTCTTATTTAGCACCCCGCCCCCAAGAAAGCCCCATTTATAGGAGTTTGGACACCAGGGCCTCAGGTATATCAAAGCAGGGTCTTGAGGTGTTTTACCACCAGGGCTCGCCTGGTGCAGGCCATGAGACAGATGAGGGGGATGGGGGCCCAAGTCACTGCGAGAGCCTCCCCAGCTGAGCTTGCACCATGTGTGGCTCGGGTGGTTTCTCTGCTCATGTTATCTTTGTTCTTCACATCCAACCCCAAGCTGTCCTTGGTGTCCAAATCACCTCTCATCACTATCCATGGGCCAGGGGTCCTACAGGTCCCCCTGGGAGTTCTGATTCCTCTGCCCAAGCCACACACTGCCTAGTGTCCTCACCTCCAGCCTGAGCCACTCCCCTCATGTGATCCTCATGCCGGAGTCTGCACCCTGCTTCCTGCTCCTTCCTGGTGCCGCAGGAGCCCAGCTCTGGAGCACCTCTCTGAGGGCAGGGCTCTGGGAAGACTGCTGGCCACGTCTTCATGCCCAGACGGTGGTCTTGCCGAGCCGGTGGTTGATCGTGTCTAGGCTTGCAGAGTCCAAGGTGCTTTTCCTCCATGCCGAAGGTCAGAGGCTTCCCACCCCAACCCTGGGATGGTACCACGGACCTCACAGGCTGAAAACTTGCCTCATCCATCCATCCGTCTTTCTGTCCCGCATGAGGCAGTGGAAAGGCCTGACTACCCTACTGCACGCCACCTCAGACTGCCCTTGGTGGGCTGCTGGAGTTCATCCTTCTCTTCCTGCTTTTCATCTCTTGCTCTTTATTATCCTTTTGGGAGAGTTCTCTGACATTTCTCATCCCGTCTCTATTATTATTTGTAGTTTCTTTTTTGAGACAGAGTGTTGCTCTGATGCCCAATCATTGAGACAGGGTTTCACCAGGTTGGCCAGGCTGATCTTGAGCTCCTGACCTCAAGTGATCTGCCTGCCTCAGCCTCTCAAAGCGCTGGGATTACAGGTGTGAGCCATCATGGGAGCCTATCATTTCTAGTTTCTGAGAGTCTTTCGTGTTGCTTTTTCTTTTTTTGAGACGTAGTCTCATTGTCTCACCCAGGCTGGAGGGCAATGGCATGATCTTGGCTCACTTCAACCTGTGCCTTCCAGGTTCATGTGATTCTCCTGCCTCAGCCTCCCGAGTAGCTGGGATTACAGGCGCCCGCCACCATGCCTGGCTAATTTGTGTGTTTTTAGTAGAGGGAATTTCACCATGTTGGCCAGATTGGTCTTGAACTCCTGACCTTGTGATCCAACTGCCTCGGTCCCCCAGAGTGCTGGCATTACAGACATGAGCTACCACGCCTGGCTGGGATGTCATTTTTTTTTTTTTTGAGATGGAGTTTTACTCTTGTTGCCCAGGCTGTAATGCAATGGTGAAATCTCGGCTCACTGCAACCTCCACCTCCCAGGTTCAGGTGATTCTCCTGCCTCAGCCTCCTGAGTAGCTAGGATTACAGGCATGTGCCACCACATTTGGCTAATTTTTGGTAATTTTAGTAGAGATAGGGTTTCACCATGTTGGCCAGACTGGTCTCAAACTCCTGACCTCAGGTGTTCCTGCCCTTGGTGGGCTGCTGGAGTTCATCCACCATGCCTGGCTCAGGATATTATTTTTAACCTACTCTAAGGATGCTTAAAAAAAAAAACAGTTCTGCCGGGTGCAGTGGCTCACACCTGTAATCCCAGCACTTTGGGAGGCCGAGGCAGGTGGATCACGAGGTCAAGAGATTGAGACCATCCTGGTCAACATGGTGAAACCCTGTCTCTACTAAAAATACAAAAAATTAGCTGGGCACGGTGGCACGTGCCTGTAGTCCTAGCTACTTAGGAGGCTGAGGCAGGAGAATTCCCTGAACCCAGGAGGCGGAGGTTGCGGTGAGCCAGGATCGCACCATTGCACTCCAGCCTGGGTAACAAGAGCAAAACTCTGTCTCAAAAAAAAAAAAAATAGAAGCACATTTGGCTGGGCGCGGTGGCTCACGCCTATAATCCCAGCACTTTGGGAGGCCAAGGCAGGCAGATCACGAGGTCAAGAGATCGAGACCATCCTGGTCAACAAGGTGAAACCCCGTCTCTACTAAAAATACAAAAATTAGCTGGGCATGGTGGTGCGTGCCTGTAGTCCCAGCTACTCGGGAGGCTGAGGCAGGAGAATTGTTTGAACCCAGAAGGTGGAGGTTGCGGTGAGCCGAGATTGTGCCATTGCACTGCAGTCTGGGTAACAACAGCGAAACTCCATCTCAAAAAAAAAAAAAGCTTTATTCAGATTCAGTTCATGTAACACAAGTCACTCATTTAAAGTGAGTAACTCTGTGGCATTTTGTACATTCATAGTGTTGTGCAGCCACCACCTCTGTCTAGTTCCAGAACATTCTCATTTCCCCAAAAGGAAACCCTATCCCCATCAGCAGTCGCTCTCCATTCCCTCCCACAACCCCAGCCCCTGGTAACCACTAATCTGCTTTCTGTCTCTATGGATTTGCCTGTGGTGGACATTTCAGATCAATGAAATCGTAACTATGTGGCTGACATGCAATCCGTGGAAACTTGTGGCCGTGAAGATTGTTGAATCAGGACCGGGTGCAGTGGCTCATGCCTGTAATCTCAGCACTTTGGGAGGCTTAGGTGGGAGGATCGTTTGAGCCCAGGAGTTCTAGACAAGCCTGGGCAACATAGTGAGACCCTCATCTCTACAAAAAAAAATTAGCCAGGGATGGTGGTGCGCTCTTGTGATCCCAGCTACTCTAGAGGCTGAGCTGGGAGGATCCCTTGAACACAGGACGTTCAGGCTGCAGTGAGCTGTGACTGTGCCACTGCACTCCAGCCTGGGCAATACAGCAAGACCTGTCTCAAAACAAGCCCAAACAAACAAAAAGATTTTGAGCCATATCAACCATTACGCATATCGTTTTTCACTCAGCATCATGTATTCAAGGGTCATTCTTGTAACAGGTCAGTGCTTCCTTTTCATGGCTGAATTATATCCCAGTGTGTGGATGGACCACATGTTGTCATCCATGCACCCACTGAGGGCCATTTGGGCGGTTTTCCCCCTTTGCCAACTGTGACTAGAGCTGCTGTGGACATGGGTGGACAAGGGTTTGTGTGGACGTGGGTTTCCCCTTCTCTTGAGGACTTCCCAGGCAGTGGCAGTCGAGGTCTAATGGTTATTTTGAACTCAACTGCAGCCACGTAGTCAGCTGGGTCGGGTAGACGAGAGAGGAAATTCTGCAGGCTTTGAAATATGCCCCCACTGCGCATCTGTGAAGGGTCAGCTGGGTCGGGTAGACGAGAGAGGAAATTCTGCAGGCTTTGAAATATGCCCCCACTGCGCATCTGTGAAGGGGCCGCAGGGGATCTGACATTAGTCAGGTCACCCCGTGCCTCAGCCTCCCAGCGTGCTGGAATTACAGGTGTGTACCACTGTGCCTGGCTTTGGAACCCTTTTCTGCTGCTGGTGCATCCTCTCACAGTCCCACCAACAGCGCACGTGGGTTCCAGTTTTTCTACGTCATCTCAACACTTGCTATTTTCTGTTTTTTGTTTTTTGAGATGGAATCTTGCTCTGTCACCCAGGCTAGAGTGCCATGGCATGATCTTGGCTCACTGTAGTCTCTGCCTTGCAGATTGAAGCGATTCTCCTGTCTCAGCCTCCCCAAGTAGCTGGTGTTACAACTGCCCGCCACCACACCTGGCTAATTTTTGTATTTTTTTTAGTAGAGACAGGATTTCGCCATGTTGGGCCAGGCTGGCCTTGGACTCCTGACCTCAGGTGGTTCACCCACCTTGGCCTCCCAAAGTTCTGGGATTACAGGCATGAGCCACCGCACCCAGCCTATTTTCTGTTTTTATTCAGCCATCCTTGCGGGTATGTGAAGCGGTGTCTCATTTGTTTTCTGTTTGGTGGGTTTGTTTGTTACTGCTCCTTGCAGGGCAGCGCCAGCTCATAGGCAGTGTGCCCAGAGTAGCCGGTGTCTTGTTCTGATTTGAATTTCCCTGAAGACACGTGGCATTGAGCATCTTTTCATGTGCTTATTGGCCACTTGTATAGCTGCTTTGAAGAAACATCTACTCAAATGTGTTGCTTTTCCAAGGATACTAAAACTGGTGTTTTTGTTAATTATTTTATTTTATTTATTTGAGATTCTGTCTTGAAGAAAAAAGATGCCACCCAGGCTGGAGTGCAGTGGCGCAATCTCGGCTCACTGCAGCCTCCGCCTCCCAGGTTCAAGTGACTCTCCTGCCAAGTAGCTGAGGTTTCAGGCGCCCACCACCATACCTAGCTAATTTTTTTTTGTACTTTTAGGAGAGACGAGGTTTCATCATGTTGGTCAGGCTGGTCTCGAATTCCTGACCTTGGGTGATCAGCCCGCCTCTGCCTCCCAAAGTGCTGGGATTATAGGCGTGGGCCACTGCGCCCAGCCTGTTGATTAATTTTTTAATGTTTTCATCTCCTTGTGGAGTCTCTCTTTTCAAATGTATTTTCCTGTTCTGTTTTAAGGTGTGACGTTTGTTGCCTGGAAGCTGCAGTGCAGCCCTTGGGGGCACTCCTACACAGCTTGGGGCCTCTGAATCCCCAATATGGCCTAGTCCTGGGCCCTGCTTCTTCTCCTGAGGCCACACATCTGGCCATCCTGTCATCCAGCTGTGGCCCAGGTAGCTTCACCCAGCTGCCTGGAGGAGTGGCCCAAGCCTCTTTGCTACCTGACAGCCCTAGGCTTACTGCCCTGCAGCCCCACCAGCAGTGACGAGGACCTGCAACAGGGCTGTGGGGGTTGGCCTGGCAGCAGCCTGTCATCCCCTGAGGTCACAGTGCCTCTTGCTCTGGGCCTTGGATTCTCTGGATCCTGCGACAGTCACCATTCATGCTTCTGCTACACTTTCCAGTGTCCTCGCTCCTCCTTTTGTCTCTGCTTTGCCTCTTCAGTGGACGCAAATGCCTGTCCTCTGTTTTCTGTCTTTAACTGGAAGCTCTGTTTATATTCACATGGCTCTCCTCTCAGGCCACCAGGGAGGCGACAGCTACAGTGGTCTGCAGCTGAGCCCATCAGTCAGGGAGATGGTCTCTGGATGTCACTGGCTGGCAGAATTGCCATAGCCCTGGGCTTCAGCCTCTCTGAGGGGCCTGGAGGGGCTCTAGGCTCCCTCGAGATGTGCAGCTGCTGGGAGAGGATGGCTGGGTCAGAGAGGATACCCTTAAGCTGCAGGGTTGCTGGTGGGGGCAGAGGGGTTCCCCTCGCCCAGATCACATGAGCTGGAGAAGGGGCATGCACTGGGGTGTTTCTTCCCTTCTCCGGCTGCATCACGTGGTCAGGCTGGTGGCCACTTGACCGTCCTCCACACCCTACTGTGACTGGGTTCCCAGGAAGTCTGTCTCATCCTAGGCCAGGCTCTCCGTTCTCTTCTGCATTTTGGACGGTTTCTGCAGTGAGCGTTCTTAGCAGGATGAACAGCTGTCTTTAAAAGCAGGGGCCAGCACCCCAGCATGTGTCTCTAGTCTCCCCGGTAACAGGCACCTACACAAAGTGCTGGCCCTCCTCTGGGCACAGGGGGACAGTGAGTGGGGAAGTGGGTGAAGCCGGGGGCAGGATGGGCTCATACCCAGGTTCCTGTGACCCCCTTGGCCCTGCTCTGGATTTGAGAGTAGGGGGGTTCCTTCCTTGAGGCATCTCCTCCGGGGCCCCGTGTAGATACACAGCTGGGGCTTCTAGGCCTCCTCAGTACCACCTGACCCAGCCCTGCCTCTCCTTCGCAGGAAGCTGTGCCAGCCACAGAGCACCGGCAGCCTCCTTGGAGATGCTGCTGCCTCTAGCCCCCCAGGCGAGCGTGGGCGCTCTGCCTCACCCCCGCAGGTAAATGGGGCGGGCCTGGGGTAACTGTCCTGAGCAGTGACTGTGCTGCATCAGTCACCCTTGTCACCTTCCTCACCAGCTCCTTGGAACATGAGCTGCTCCGAGCTGAGCTGCCTGTCTCCACCTAGGGATCAAGGGGGAAGCTGTCGGGTTGGGGTTGGGGGCAGATTCCTGCCAATATGGCCACAGCAACCCCAGTTTACAATGTGGAACCTGGGATGGGGGCGGCTCTCAGATGTGGGGTCTCTCGGGCCTCCTGTCCCTGCGTCACAGCTGTTGCTGGGGAAGCATGCTGAACATAGCAGTGCTTTAGACCAGTCCCCAGGGCTGACCTGCACAGGCTGGGCCCTGCCCTCCCCTGCATTGGCCCCAGCAGGCTTAAGGGCTCAGTTTGAGGGCACCCTGAGCAGCACCAAGGACCTGGCTTGGTGCCCTGGTGCCCCCGTGTGGCCGGCCTGGGCCTTGCAGGCAGCGCCGGATTTTCTGGCTGGGCCACAGGATTGTCTGTTGCTGCCCAGCCGCTCTGTGGTCCCCTCTAAAATGGTCTCTGCTCCTCCCCAGAAACGGCCACAGCCTCCTGATTTCATCGACCCCCTAGCCAACAAGAAACCCCGGATATCACACTTCACTCAGAGAGCTCAGCCAGCTGTCAACGGGAAGCTGGGTATGCCCAACGGCCGTGAGGCCCTGCTGCCCACCCCGGGCCCGCCAGCCAGCACAGACACCCTCAGCTCCAGCACCCACCTGCCCCCGCGACTGGAGCCCCCGAGGGCCCATGACCCCCTGGCTGATGTCAGCAATGACCTGGGCCACAGTGGCCGGGACTGTGAGCGCGGGGAGGCGGCTGCCCCAGCCCCCACTGCACGCCTTGGTCTGCCCCTGCTGACGGACTGTGCCCAGCCCAGCAGGCCCCATGGCAGTCCCTCACGCAGCAAGCCCAAGAAGAAGTCCAAGAAGCACAAAGACAAGGAGAGGGCGGCTGAGGACAGGCCCCGGGCCCAGCCCCCAGACTGTGCACCCGCTACACACACCACCCTCGGAGCCCCAGCAGATGCCCCAGGTAGGTGTCCTGGCAGGATGGCGCTGCCAGGACTCCCAGCACTGGCCCCACGTTCACCTCATTCTCATGGGTGTTGAGGGGGCTCAAGCTGTAGAGGCTAGGGGAGGGGGCTCTGTTGCCCAGGGCCCCAACAGACTGGCCCTGTGTGCCTGGCACCTGGCCCACTACATTCCCGCACTGGTCCTCTCCTCTGGAGTGCCCGGTGTCACATGCAGTCAATGTGCCAGGCCAGCACTGGAGGCCTGGGGCCCAGTGCCTGTTGGGGAGCTGAGGCCATAGAAGGGGCTAGCACATGCGGAGAGGAATGGGTCCAGGCCCCAACTCTGACTGCAGGGAAACCTCGGGAGCCAGGG